ATTGTTTCCCAATATTTTTACATATATTTTAACTTGTTATTACAGCAGATTCATTCTTAAATTTCTCTAACAGGTTTATACTTAGAATACTTACTCCAGCGAAGTGAGATTTCCATCAGTAGAAAATAAGTAACCAATTAGGTTTTGATTTTAACAAACTGACATGGAGGTGCCAACCCAAAATAATGAATTAAAAGATTTTTGTTTTTACATTCTGACGGTTTTCACATGCTGTTGTAAACTGTGATAACATTCTGTTTTAATACAGAAAGTTTTTTAATAACTTTTAGCACAGAATTAAGAAATGTCTTCACGCTTTCAATGCACACTGATTCATATATTTTTTTTTAATTTGGAAGGCAGGAAGAATTTCAAAATTGAATCATGATTTTTAAAAAGACTTCATTTATTTTTAGAGAGAGGGGAACAGAGGGAGAAAGAAAGGGAGATAAACATTGATGTGTGAGCGAAATATCGATCAGGTACCTCTTGCACACCTTCAACCAGGGACCTGGCGAGCAACCCAGGCATGTGTCCTGACCTGGAATCGAGCCAGTGACCTTTTTGGTTTGCAGGACAACACTCAACCCATGGAGCCACACCACTCAGAGCTAACTGAATAATTATTAACTAAAATTTCTTCTTTATATAATAGTAATACATGCTCACTGAAGATACTGGTTTTAAATCTAAAAACAATCACTGCAAGGGTTTACTGTAAAACATTTACGTTTGTTTAGATCTGGCAGTCATGTTAGAAGAAAACACTTTAATTTGTGGCTTTGAGAATAAAGCTATCTTTTTAAAATTTTTATTTGTTTATTTTTAGATAGAGGGGGAGGGAGGGAGAGAAACATCCATGTGCAAGGGAAACATGGACTGACTGCCTCTTGCATGCCAACTGGGAACCTGGTCAGCAACCCAGCCATGTGCCCTGACCTAGAATTGAGCTAGTGACCTTTCAGTTTGCAGGATGATGTCCCACGCACTGAACCACAACAGCCAGGCCAAGCTATCCTTTTTTAAATTTATTTTATTCTTTTTAAAGGTAAGAGTTCATTTGAGCCAAACTGATGACATATGCCAGGGAAAAAGATCTCAAATGCCCCCAAACATTTACTTTTTAAATTTCTTTTAATTAAAGAAAAACCTTTTAAATATTCTTTCAATAGCACAAATAATCAAACGGTTACAGGCAGCTTCTTAATTTTTAGGAGATTTGTAATCTATAAAAACAAGAACAAAGACATACAACCACCCCCCCCCCTTATTTCACTTAGCATAATGCTTTCCAGTTCCATCCATGCTGTTGCAAAGGGCAGGAACAATTATAAATGACACATGGACAATAACGAAGGGAGGGGTGGAAATGGGAAAGAGATGGGGAGGTCTAGGGGGTTGGGTTGGGGTGGGGTGGAAAGGCAGAAAACTGTACCTGAACAACAATAAAAAAACCCCACTAACATAAAAGGTTATAAAATTTAACCAATAAAAAGAAATGTAAATGGTGTTTTTTTTCATAAAGTGTGGGAAAAAAAGTGACATATTTGGACAGAGTGAAACATAAAGTGGAGAAATTAGCATCTCAGTTCCAAATCAGAAAAACTTGAAAAAGTTACCTAGGTAGAAAGAAGAGATTAAAAAAAAAAGAACTAGAATTTCTTGGTTCAAGAACTACGTTTTCTTCCATAGCAACCTGGTTTATAAGGGACTCATGGAAACAAATAGTGAGTAATGTCTATCAACTTTCAAAAAGTAAGCTGCTCAACAAATTACGATGGGATACCTGATATTCACATGCAAAAGAATGAAGTTGCACCCCTAATATCATACACAAAAACTAACTCAAATGGATCAAAGATCCAAATATAAGAGATACAACTATAAAATTATCTTTTAAATTACATTTGTTAATCCTCTGAGGACATTTTTTCATTGCTTTTAGTGAGAGAGGAGGGGGAAGGGGAAGAGAGAAAGAGAGTGAGGGAGAAGGTGGGAGGAAGAGAGAGAGAGAGAAACATTGATGTGAGAGAGAAACACTGACTAGTTGTCTTTTCCTATGCTCCCTGACTGGAGACTGAACCCACAACCTGGTTATGTGCTCTGACCAGGGATCAAACCAGAAAACTTTTGGTTACAGGACAATGTTCCAACCAGCTGACCGATACTGTCCAGGGATAGACAATGATTTCTTATATCTGGCACCAAAAAGACAAGTAATCAAAGAAAAATAGATAAACTGAACATCAAAATTAAAAACTTGTGCCTCAAAGGACACCACCAAGAAAGTGAAAAGACAATCCACAGAATGGAAGAAAATAGTTGCAAATAAGAAACCTGTATCCAGAACATGTAAAGAAAATTTATAACTCAATAAAAAGACAAATAGCCCACATTTTAAAATGGGAAAGAGATCTGAATAATTTGTCCAAAGGCATACAGGGTGGAGCAAAAGTAGCTTTCCAGTTGTGAGTATGTGAAAGTTTATTCTTGTATTATTTATTATTTTTCATATGAACGACTGTAAATCTATTTTTGTCCCACCTTGCATATAAGTATGCAGGGATGCACTATATAAAAAATGGAACATTCAGGCCCTGGCTGCTTGGTTCAATTGGTTGGAGTGTCATCCTGTAGACCAACTGTGGGTTCAATTTCCAGTCAGGGCACATATCTAAGTTGTGGGTTTGATCTGTGGTTGAGGCATGTATGAGAGGCAACTGATTGATATCTCTCCCTTCCTCTCTCTCTAAAAAGGGGGAGACATTATGGAACTGCTGGTCTGGGGACTTTGTCTCCTTGTTCACTAAAAGGTAAGATTTTCAGCAGCCAAGGGCATCCATTCCAAAGTAAATGTGATGGAACATGAAAAAATTAACTGAGATTATTCACTTTGGTTGTCCAAACAGTAGTGTTTCACAGGAAGAGAAGAAAAGCATGATCTTGTATTTTTGGACCATATATATGATTCTTCTTTTTGTAATAAAGTATAAAACCTCTCTTCCAAAAAGAATATGCAAATGACTAACAAGCACATGAAGAACTGATGCTCAGTATCATTAGCTATCAGGCAAATTAAAATAAAAACTGCATTGAGATACACTTAATACTCTTAGGATAGCATTAATAAAAGATAGACAATAACAAGTGTTGGTGAGGACATGAAGAAAATGGAACCCTCATACATGGCTGGCAGGAATGTAAAACATTGCAGATGCTGTGTAAAACAGTTTGACAGTTCCTCAGAATGGTAAGGATAGTTATCATATGATCCAGTAATACTTCTACTAAGCTGGGGTCTGTCCAGAAAGTATCCAGCCATGTAATATGAAAAAGAGACATTTCTTGAAGAAGATACAAGAAACATTACACACAGGAAAATGATGCCTCAGTCCCCTTCAAAGTAAGTACCCTTGGGACCTCACACAATTCTCCTAGCATCTCTTTCACTGTTCAAAATACTCCACAAAACACTTCCTTGGAATCAACATCAGTGGTCCCAACCTATTTGCCTGAATCTCATAGACATTCTGAAATCTCTTCCCTTTCAAAGGTGATTTTAGTTTCAGAAAAAAACCAGAAGTCACAGGGCACCACATCTGGGCTGTAGGGTGACTGAGTCACCTAGGTGATTTGATGTTTCATCAAAAAGCTCTGCATGAGACATGATGCATGAGTGGATGCATTATTGTGATGAGGCTGTCAATCACCAGGTGCCTGTGGCTGCGGCCTTCTGAATCATTTGAATAGTTTCCATAGAGGTAATGTTCAAGCTTAACACAAAATTTGAGGCAGATTCGTTGCTCTACTTGCTCAGTCATTTTGAATGCAATGGTCACACATTACACATGCTCACCCAATGGCGTCTACTTCCCCACACTGACTAGTATAGTGAAGTCGTCATTGTTCACGCATTCACATTCCAGGTTATTTGCCTTGGCTGCCAGGTTATATCAATGTCACATAAACTGTTCTCGTTATATTAACAATGGCTGGAATTTTTCTGGACAGACCTTGTATACCCAAGAGACTATGAGACTCTGGATCTTAGAAGTGATTCAACACGTATTTCTTCTGGAAAATGACTAGGACCTATGAACCTGGTGCCAGGGATGGCGAATTCAAGGATGTGATCTCTGCCCTTTAAGAACCTAATATGCACTAGAAATACATAGATGTACAATGAGATGTATACTTTCTCATAGTAACCAAGAGGTCCCACCCTTTATCTGTTGCTATCCCTTCCCTCCCTTCTGTCCTTCGCTCACTCAAACTTATACCAAGCATTTTATTTCATGTCAGTCTTTGTGTAACGCACCGGGAACACAAGGACCAGTAAGATAAAATGGCTTCCAAAATCAGTCATTACTCTTGAGAAGCTAAAACTTACTACTTCCTCTGGCAGAAAAGTCTTCTCCCCTTCCCACAAAACCAAAATCCTCTTCTACTTAATCTTTCTTCTCAAGTCTTTCTTTGCAAATGAAGGCTATTCGCTTATAGTCAACCCAATTATTACAGTTATTCCCTTTCATTTGTGTTTATGCATTTTATGAACTCTAAATATTTTGGTTTACTATTTATAGATGCTATAAAGTTCCCTGTTATAATGGAATGACTTTTCATGGGGTTATGTAGTAATACAATTATTGTGGGGTTATATAATTAATGCTCTGTTTCTCTTCAAAGGCTAATAAATGCTACTATTGTTGAGTCAGACCTGGAAATCCTGGTCTCCAAAATCTTGTCACATTTCAGATTGAACCTCAAACAGTTTTATCCTGTAAATGGGTATATATTTTATCCCTAAATAAATAAGCTTGACTTTAACTACTAACCTATCCTAGCTGGTATACTTTGCCACTGGTCTGAGTGAACTGAACATGGTATGTGACTTCGCATTATAAATGTAAAGTTAACCACTCAAAGTCTCTCCCCAAGCAGCACACAGATAACCATAAGACCATTCATTCCCTAAGTCAAAACTGCAAGCAGGCAAATACCTGAGGGAAGGCTGTGGAAGAGTGTCTGGACTGGCTGGTACCTGAACTCCCTTTTCCCATTCTTCTTTCCATGTATCCGTAAAGAGGTAATAGCTGTCAGGATTAATGTGGTGAGAATCTGAAAGTTTCATGGCACTGATGAGGTCCTTCCGATATACCTAGGAAGACATTGCACACATCATGAAGGAACTAAAACCATTTAATGTTATTTTAAAAAGACCATCCCCACCCACTCTATACTTCAGCAAGAGAGACATTTCTAACTTCTTAAATGGCTAGATTAACTCCTATTTGGAAGGGGTTTGAAGTATTGACAAAGAAACCAGCTTATTCTGCATTTAATAAAGAGTAAAGGGGTCCTTTTGAATTACTTTCTTCAGCTCCTTGAATTTAAATAAACAATACAGGTTACTTTTAAACAGTACGTAAACAAGCAAGCAGAATAAAAACAAAGGCACTGAAATAGAGAACAAGGGGACAGTGATCAGAGGGGAGAGGGAAGGGAATTTAAGGGGAAAAAAGGGGAGGGATTTGGAGGAACAAATAGGAAGGACACAGGGATGAGAACAAAGGGGGGGTGGAAAGGGGAGGGAGGGGGGGAGCACGGGGGGGGGGGGGCTGGGATGGGAGAAATAGACAAAAAACTGTACTTGAAAAATAACTAAATAAAATTTAAATAAAAAACCAGCATGTATAAAAAATAATCCTTAGCTCTTCAAATTAAGCAACAAGTATCCTCTGATAACTTATAATTGTTTATTTAGCCATTATCTTATTTTTGATAACCTACTCAAAGTTACAAAAAGAGTACTGAGCCCCCATATACCCTTCACATATTTTTCTCATGCTAATATCATACATAACCAGTGTACAATTACCTAAGCCAGAAAATTAACATTGCTACAATACTAGTAATTAATCTTCAGACCTTATTCAAATTTTACTAATTTCCCTCCTAATGTCCTTTTGTTCCAGAATTAAATCCAGGATCCCACATCCCAATTAGTTGTCATGTGTCCTCAGTATCCTCTAATTTGTGACAGTTTCTCAGTCTTTCCAGACCTTGATACTTCTGAAGAATACTGGTCATGCATTTGAAAGAATGTCCCTACAAGAGGGGTTTGTGCAATATTTTCTCATGATTGTTACTCATTTTTTTGGCAAGAGTATACAGAAATGATGCCATACCCTTCTCATTCCATTATATCAGGGATATATGATGCCAATGTCTTATTAGGGGTGATGTTAAACTTGATTAATGTAGGGTCTTGCTGTTTTTTTCCACTGTTAGGTTACTATATTTCCCTTTGTAATTAATAAATAGCTTAGAGGAGATACTTTGAGATTATAAAAACATCCTATTTCTTCTCAAACTGTCATGGGCTAATTTTAGTATCCACTGGTAAAGATCAGCCCTGCATTTATTAATTTGAATTCCTCTCTAATAAAGATCTATCCTTTTTCCCCCTCATTTATTTATCTACTGAAACACTTTGTATAATGGGGTAAGAGAGGATCATAGACATATCCATTTAACATGTTTTGCACAGAGCTCAGTGTTCTAGGTGGCTAGTCCAAGAAACGGAATTGCCATTTTGCTGAACACTGTGATTTATTTCTATAAATTACTTGAGTGCCTTTAATGAGCCAGTGGCTAAATGGCTGTGGCAATTTACGATTGTACTAAACTGTTGTCTTTGAGAAAGACAGTGTGGGAAATCCTACTTTAGATCTGTAAAGAATACTAAAGCCAAGTGTTTTTCAACCTCCTAAAATATTTCATTATTTTCTATGTGATATACTTCATAATATAAATCGATTGCAAAATCATGCTTTAGGGTTAATAATGCCACAGCATCTAATCACACAGCATAAGCCATGTCTTTATATTTGATATAATTGCTTATGAAAATCTGTCCTGTATAGTTTCCTGAATAACCTGGAAATATATTGTAGTGGGTTGAATGGTGGCCCCCAAAAGATATGTCTACATTCTAATTTATGGAACCTGTAAATGGATCTTTACAGATGTAAATAATTTAAGAATTTCTGAGATGGAGAGATTGTCCTGGAATATCCGGGTGGGCCCCAAATCCAATGACAGGTATCTTTACAAGAGAAAGGCAGAGAAAGAGTTGAGGCAGGAGAGTAGGATGCCGTGTGATCATGGAGCAGAGATTGGAGTGACTCACTGATCTACAAGTCAATAAATGCTGAGTTATCAGAACCTGAAGAGGCAAAAAAAACCAAAATTTCTCCTAAAATCTCTGGAGGGAGTACAGCCTGGCTGATTTTGGACTTCTGGCCTTCAGTACTGTGAAAAATGATTTTCTTCTTGTTTTAAGTCCCCCACTTTGTGGTAATTTGTTATAGTAGTCCTAGGAAACTAATGCACAAAATTATCAAACAGAAGAGTAACTTGAAGACTAGATTAAAAGATATAAAAGCAGAAGCCAATGAAACCTGGCTCCTGTCCATGGCTCCAGAAATACCAAACCTCCAGGAACAGGCAATTCTGTGAAGTCTGAGAAACCTTGGACTGTAAGAACACCAATCAACTCTAATTTATTTTTCTTAAGCAAATGAAGTCTAAATACAATGATTATGATAATCTTCCCTTCTGCATTTAGAGAAAAAAAGCAGATTTATAGAATAAGCCTGATTTCAATTTTAAAAGCTAGCCAGATTAAATAGCATCAGATCTAATGTTTCTAGAGAAGCATTTTTACTCAAGGCAGAATGCAGGCGTCTGCCTTATCTTGCTACAGAAGGCAAACATCTCAAGCATGATGCAGAACATAAAATGTTAAACAGGATAGGAATGTAAGCTCAGTATTCAGGCAGATATCTGCAAAGCAATATGAAATATACAGGGTGGGGAAAAGTAGATTTACAGTTGCTCATATGGAAAATAATATAACAATTAATAAATAATAATACAAGAACACTGTATTTTGCATACTCAAACTGTAAACCTACTTTTGTCACACCCTGTAGTTACCAGACTGGTCTTGTGAACCTGCTTCTGATAAGAAAAGACATTTTTTTAGGTTTATAAAATAAATATAGACAAATAAAATAGCTAGAATGTATCCTGGGTAGAGATGTTTTATATATACACAGTCGCACACACGTACACACATATTTGTGTATTATTTTCATAAAGAAACTAGAAAAGGATAAACTTAAAAAGTTTTTTTAAAACAGGTAGTTTTGGGGAGAAGGAAAATAGGGAAGAGAGAGAGACAAAAGCTGATCTCTTTGAATGTATTTTGTTCTACTGTTTGATGTTTGAAACAGGCAGATGTTTTAATATAGATAAAAATGAAATTAAAAATCTTTATTAAAGAATGGAAAATAGGTCCAGGACAGACTACCTTGATTCATCTAATGGCTTTACCAATTAATAATTTGGGGCAAGTTATCTAAATTCTCTGTATGTTTATTCATCTGTAAAATGGGGATAATGATTACAATGACCTCAGAGGGGTTGTTGTTAATGTGTGAATTTACGTAAATGGCTTAGCATGGTACTGGGCTTGTGGTAAGTGCTAAATAAATTCTAACTGCAGTTAACTTTATCATCATCATCATAATCTCAGCTTTATAACTAAAATCAGAAAAAAGTATTTAGCTGAGTTCTCCTGTCTAGTCCATAAAGTAAATGTTGATGGAGTAAAGAAGATGTAAGTTTATGGCTAACACGTGTGTGGGTTGGATCCCAAAGACAGTGTTTCCAAGCAAGAGCTCCATCAAGAACTTTAACCAACATTTTATAGGCCATGAAGTAATGCAGAAACTTCACAATATAAAACATGGCCATTTGTTACTAAATTAAAGATTATAAATGATGGATCTGGATATTGACACTGACCTAGGTAATGAAGTTGAGAAGTTATACATACTCTCAATTGTGTGTCTATTTTATATGCACTGGTAGTTTCCCCAAAAGTTCCTGAGACAAAAAGACTTTATACTTACCAGAGATCTGCTCATTTATGGTCAAAGAGGGGATTCACAGGCTAACATACAGCCCAGAAGCTATGCCAAGTCCAACAGTGCGTGCACATCTTGGCCTCTCAGATGCTTACAGAAACAAAGGAGGCCTCACTATGAATTCAATTAGAGTATCAATGCTTAACCTGTTAGAGCCACAAAATGAAAATGCCCTTCATGGACAACTCTGGCTTTTACTGCTCTCATTAACATCTCTCAGTGGGTAGTTTCTTAAAGCATAGCTAGTCTGAACATTTCTGTGACATTTTTAAGAGAAAAAGCCAAACATTTACTTCCTGTATGACACAAAGGGGAACACTGTCTGGTTCATGTGAATGAAGCAGAAAGAGATTGCTCAGTTTTGATTCATAGTCACTTAAATCTGAAACTATACCTAACTCACCACAAACAGATGTGTCATCCCCAAAGCAAAAAAAAAACAGCTGCAAACATGGTATCTATATTTAAGAGAGTTAACTGTAAGTGATGTTCTTAGAATTATACAATCCTAAGGCAAGATGAGATTTTTGTGTTATCTAGAAAAATCATTTACTTAGAGCAGAGAGAACCTAGAAAAGAATACAAGCTTCTTCTTACATGGTAAGAAAGGTACCCAGTATTGTCAAGACATTGTGTCACACCTTGATTTCTCCAATGAAGCAAAGTTTATATAATTTCTAAGTTTAAAACTTTAAAAATCACCCAAATATTTTTCATGGAAATAATTTTCAAATAGTTTAAAATAATTCTTAAGTTTCTTATAAAAAAACAAATGGGACATTTTTAATGGTTATGGGCTGCCATTAACTAGAACATCAACTGCTATAAAGCAATGTACTTTAGGGTAAGAATTCCTCTTACCCCATACCAAACAGAGGTGTATGCAGCCTGGTAATGGAGAAGCAGCAGCAACTGAGTCTGACTTGAAGATCTGGGCGGTTTTCACACAAGAGGTGATACATGAGGCTTGCTTTGCAAGTTATTTTCCTATCCTTCAATGTCCCTTTTTGCGCAATAAGTGTGCATTTGCAAGCTTAGTGTTTTTTATCTACTGTGGGCCAGAAAACAAAAATAATCAAGCTTGTTAGAAATGCAGATAAAAGTGATGTAAACAGGCTCTATCTGAGGGCATTGCAGTGTTCTCTGTTGAGTTAAGATATATGAACTTTCACTCTGTTGCTATGAAAGTCTTGGGCATAACAAATGAGACTCCAGGCCTACAGATGATATATGCATTCAATCCTTTAAGATAAGTTGATGTGTTTTATAGACCAGTCAGACTAATAGGTGAAAATATCCTGGCTTCTGAGAAAGAATGGAAGACTTTTTAATAAATTCAAATTGCTCGTCTAGTACTACAAGCTTTTTAAAGGGCAATTAGCTTTTTAAAAATGTCTTTAAGAGCATGGGCCTTTCTGAGAATCAGATAAAGTCTACTGGTTCAAAAAATACAGATAAAAATGTATCCTTAAAAGTCTGCATACAATTTTCAGAAGTTCCCGAGCCTTACATGGGATTCACAGACCCCTAGGAAACTCATCTCTAGAAGATAAATCAAGGGGAGGCATGTAGAAGAATCTCACAAAAAGCACTAAAATCAAAGATAATATGTACCTATTAATGTAGCCAATTAAGGCCCAGCAAAAAAAGTGATCATTTATATTGCATTTCAGTGACTAACTCCCAGTAAAATGATAAGGTTACATTTTGGACCTGTAGAGGATCAGAAAGAAGAAACTCCCATCCTTACAAGAAAAAGGCAGGACAGGCAGCAAATTAACAATTTTTCCATGAACCCTTTGGAGAAATGAGTCATAGGACAAACGGCCAACTCAAAGAGAGACAGGCATGCCTGCAGGGAGACACAGGACAGTTTCTCAGTCTTTCTCAGGACAGGAGCATTTCCTTACCTGGGGCAGAAGCCACAGCAGGAACATTAAACTAGAAATTTTGATGATTTGCTGGGGCCAAGTGGGGACTACTGTGAGAGTATGAAGTTCCTGAGGGCTGTATTCATAGGGGGTTCCCACCTTCTTGTAAGCTTCTTTTCTAGCCATCCAAATCAGCTCTCATAAAGAAGATGGAGAAAACCTGGAGAAAAGATCCCCCAGTGGTGCTGTCTGGGCCCCTGTTGTTCAATGTTCTTCCTCCTTTACTGAACAAAAGGCTTCATCTTCAGGGGAAGGATATCAAATGAGTGCACTGGTATAATTTTATTAGTGCTAGGGAAAAGGAAGAGTACCCAGTCTCAGCCTTCCTGTGTTATCTAAGGGGGAAGAAAGAATTAATCTATAAGAAGAAGAACTTCAAGGACATAGACGGAGAACACCAGAAAATACCTGCTGCAGGTAGACAGGGGAAAATGGGGCAGGAGCAAAAAAGCCTTACCCCTAAGGTTCACCTTCTCCATCCCCTCCCCCTTACTCAGGATCACTATACCATCTACAGACTAAGATGTAATCAGAATATTAGAGAACACTGTCCTTCCTTTATGCCCTATACCACCATGCTAATGCCTCCAAGTGATAATAAGAGTGGTTTACAGCCAGAAGAACTGCAAAAGACAATCTTTCTGAGGACAAGCACAAAGGGAAGACTCTAAGCCAAGATCACTAGAGGAATTCAAAGTCTCTGGTGCCCACAGCAATAACAAATTTCAAACACCCTCATACACTGCTCATGGGAGTATAAACTGATGAGGCCTCCTTGGAAAAAAATCTGGCATTCCCTCAAATGGTTAAATAAAGTTACCATATTCCACACCTTAGATGTATGTATACTCAAGAGAACTGAAAATATGACCACATAAAATTTTGTACATGAATGTTCATAGCTGTTGCTATGAATTCAAAGCAGCATTATTTATAATACTATAAAAATGGAGGTAACCCAATTGTTCATAGCTAATGAATGGATAAGCAAAATGTGATATTTCAATACAATGGAATATCATTCAGTCATAAAAAGATGAGGTATTAATAAATGCTAAAACATGAATGAATCTTGAAAATGTTACACTAAGTGAAAGAAGCCAGACACAAAAGGCTATATACTGTGACTCCATTAATATGAATATCCAGAATAGGCAAATCCATAGAGACAGAAATTAGATTAGTGGTTGGCAGGGGTTGGAAGTAGGAGGATTAGGGAATGATGCCTAATGGGGTAAGGGGATTTCTTTCTGGGGTGATGAAAAGGTTCTACATTTAGATTGTGGTAATGGTTATGCAACTCTGTGAATACACTAAAACCACTGAATTATGTACTTTAAGTGGATAAATTATATGGCGTGAGAATTGTATTTCAAAAAAGATGTTTAAAATGTTTTATTTAAAAAGACTGTTGTGGTGTTAGTGGATATCACCTGAGAGGCCTTGACATCCACTTCCACTCAGTAGTAACAAGGTTTCCCTCCTGTTCAATGCGGTACCAGCAGAGACTGGACAGAGAGCCTGGACTGTCACTATAGCCCAGGGGTGTCAAACTCATTTCCACCAGGGGTCACATCAGCCTCCTAGTTGCCTTCAAAGGGCCAAATGTAGAGCTCCTTGCCCCTCATTAAGGAGTAGTTACATTTATATAGTCCAAAAATTACATTCGGTCCTTTTGAAGGCAACTGCAAGGTTGATGTGGCCCCCAGTGAAAATGAGTTTGACATCCCTGTTACAGCCCATCTGTAATGTGGTATCCCTTACTGCCAACACTCCCCCTGCTATCAGGGAGGTAACAAGGTGAGTATTTCCACTGCAACAAGGAGTAAAGTAGTAAGGAAGGTAATAAGTAACTCATCCCCCTTCCCAGGGAGATAATAAAACTATCTTCCTGGAGAGGCAACAGAACTAGGACAGGAAAGCTAAGAATTCTACAACTGACAGTAAAGAGTCAGTGCCCCTCTTCCCCACTGGCCTGGTTATTATGGAGGCCTGATAAAACAAATTTAAATAAGACTTAGTGTGATAACATAATACCAAAAATATCTAGGATACAAGAGAAAATCACTCATCATACTAATAACTGGGAATAACAAGAGACAATAGAAACTAACACCAAGATAATACAGATGTTAGAATTATCTGGCAAGGATTTTAAAGCATCCATCATAAAAATGCTTCAACAAGAAATTATGAACACTGTTTTTGAAATTAGTAAATTGAAAGTCTCAGCAAAGATATAGAGGATATAAAGAATAATGAAATGAAAAACTTGAAATGGAATAATAGCTGAAATAAACTCAGGGGGTAGGCTCAATAGAAGAATGGAATTAACAGAATATTAAATAAGGGAACAAGAAAAATTCCCCAATCTATCAACAGAAAGGATACACACACACACACACACACACACACACACACACACACACACACGCAAATGAACAGTCTGAGGGACCTGTGGGATAATAACAAAAGAGCTAACATTCATGAAATTTAAGTCCTAAGAAAAGGAGGAGAAAGAAGATGGAGCTGAAAAAATAGTTGAAGAAATCATGGTCAGCCTCACCAGGAGTGACACATTCTTCTTGGGCTGTCAGTGCTCTGAATGCTATGAGGACCCATCACGCCCAGATCTCCCAATCTGGTCCTTCCCTTCTATCCACAACCTCCTTGTCTACCCATTCCTGCACTGCCTCCCATGTACCAACTTAGCTTTTAATGATCATAGACCAGATCTTTGGGTCCTTCCCAATTCCCCAAGTCTGGCTCCCTGGACTTTTTGGCTAAGGAGAGGCTTTATACTCTAAAGCCAGGCATTTAAGAATAAATCGCCAAAATGAAATCACAGTGTGAAGATTACTGTTTTCCCAAAGGGAAAAGAAAATGGAATCTTCCTTGAAAAACAAAAAAACTCATCAGAAAGCAAGGCTATCCATTGGCACATGGACTTACTCCTTGCATCTCCAAGATCTGAATATTGTAGGCATGTAGGCAGAAGGCAGCTGTCTATTTTTTAAAGTCTAAAAATTAGAATATCTGATCTCACCTCAGCAGATTTCTTGGGTTCATTTGGAATTTTTGACTTGTTCCTATACATTGAGCCACAAGTAAGAGAAGTGGAAGGACCTGCAAAAGATAATTAGAAAAAAATACTGAGACTTATTGACTTTCTATTATAACTAAATGTTATATAACTAAATGCCATCCAAGAGAATACGAAAGATATGATGGAGAAGAACAGTGATCTCATACACAACACTGAAGAAAGTTAAATTACAACCAAGAAAGACTCATAATAGAGTTTAAAAGCATTTATAGGTGGCCTTTTAGTATACAAAAGCTTCAACAAAGCTAACGCTGAGGAGATTTGATTCGATGTAATCATACCTCAACATTTTGGAATAACATGATTCATGTACCACCTGGAGAAAAAGTATCTGCAAAAGCAACTGAAAAACTAAAAATGTTCAACAAGTAATCTGTATACATCCTTTAGCACTTCCCCAAATGCTGTTGTTAATAAGATTGTTGCCTTTTACAAATGACAACTCATGCAGTGAAGCATTTAGTACTTAAGCTACAATTACAATTGTAGGGCCTACAGTTAATGCTCATATACTTTTCCTCCTTTCTAGAAAAGCACTGTTAAATCATTATTAGATTTGGCATTTGTTGTTTAGGTAAGTGAAAAGTAAAAACAACTGCTATATGCCGTATAAAACCAATTCTCCTACCTAACTTATTAATTTCTAATGAAATTTAAATGAGTAAGAAAAATGACACCCCAAGCTTTCTTTCCGAAAACATTATTTTTAACCATGGAAGGAAGCAAGAAATAGCTTGTCATCAAGTCAAAGAAGAAATCCTCAAGGAGTATGGATACAGAGGTTACCAGCTGTTGGCTGGTTCTACTCACTCTCATCTGAACTGTCACTGCTGCTGAGAGTTCTATGGCGTTTCATTGTGGAGCATCCTGGGAAAGAGAACAACACTGAATGAAACAGTCAATGCACACACACACACACACACACACACACACACACACACACACACACTCCAGTAGACAGTCAATACTTTCCTACAGATCCCAAGAAGCAACAGCAGGCCAATCACACAAATCAAAATGATTTCTGTCAAGAATATTCTCAAATGATGTAGAGTGACAGGAAAAGACTACTACCAAATTCTCCAATATAATTTGTCATAGACTGGGTAAGTCTACACATTAGCCTTAGTAGGAAGTCCACATAGGAGAGGATGATTAGTACAGGAATGGCTGGAGCTTCAGATGTGGCCGCATGACCAATGTCCACCCAACAGAGAGGGCAGCCGTGGGGACCTCATCAGCCAGAGAGGAGCAGGAAAGGAAAAAGCAGTAGCATAGGCAGAGCTGTCAACGGCCAAGGATGAAAGGCATGAAACATGGTTGGCTGAAGAAAGAACAGGTGAGGAATGTCCCACCTTGAAGAACACAACCACACTGCTTTTCTACCTGCATTTCTCACTTTATCTCTGTCTCCATCCCCAGAAAAACTGGCTAAATTAAAAATTACATCTATACATACACTGCAAGGGATGTTATAGAAGGCTCCTACATTGTCAAAATACATAACACTTTTGACTAAAACTTCAAATGGTTCAAGTGTACTTCCTTGTGTGCATGTAGCCAATGACTGATGAAAAAAAAAAAGAGGTTCCACCTTTCTGGGAACACTCCAGCACCAGAATGAAGGAAAAAAGACAGACAGATACCTCAACTCACAAAGGAAGTGCTCAAAGTATAAGCTAGAAAAGACAGTGGCACAGTCAGTTATGGACATTCTGTTATGTGCCACAGTATACAAAATACTACTATAAACAATCATGATTCCACAGGGGATAAAGGTCATGGCTACTGCCTTCAAGCCACTTATTATCTACTAAAGAGATAGAATTCCAAGTACAAGGCCACTGTGAGCAATTAGGAGTAACAGAAACAAAACTGCATCTTAAAAAGCTAATAGAGTTCCATTCCTGCTATGATAATGTGAAGAGCTATATGGACCCACTCCCCAGTGAATCTGGTGAAAATTATTTTAAAAAGAAACAAAAACTACTCATTTAAAATCTCTGAGAATGATCTGAAGGGCTTATAGCAAACAAAGAAGCATTTATTGAAGGAAATCTACTAAAACTCAATAAATAAAGAGTCTATAGTATTTGGGCCTAGACTCACTCCCTGTATCCCCTTTCCAGCACAAATGTCAGCTCCCAGCTGCAAGGTGTTCCCCCTGAGAGGGTCAGGAAACAGCATTTCTCATCTAGTCTGCAGCTACCTGTTGCTGAGGCTAAGTTCCAGAAAACTGTGGCTGAAAGGTGGGGGCTCCCTTCTTCTACCCCATGGCTCCCACTCCTGGGATAAAGGCTATGCCTTGGTTGAGGTGCTACCAAGAACACTGAGGCCCCAAATGCCCTGGCCCCAGCACTTAGAATGGGGGTTCTACATCAGCAGAGGTAAACTAGGAGAGATGGGGACTCTACTCAGAGAGAAGCACATTAATATCCCCATCCCTCGTACTAGAGCTGTGGCTCAGAGATTTAGCCTAGTGGGATAAGCAGGCTATAGAATAGAAGGCTCCAAATCTTTCCCCAGTGGAAATGATTCCATTTGCAACAGAGTGTGGAAAAGTTATTCATGCCTAGGTTGGCTCACATGCTAAAGAGAATTAGGGAAATAGATAGCTGGGAGAAATCATTCTGGGTTCAGGAATCTCAAATACCAATCTTAGAACTATCCCTTCAAAGGAGCCCTAATGTGATAGGATCAGTCTGTGGAGCAATTTATGCCCCCAGGGCATTATTAAAAACAACAGGGCAATCAGCCAGCAACTTGTGGAAACTTGACAAAACCACTATCATCCTAGGGTGACTGTGGGCATACCAAAGACTGAACCCCTAAGAAGCAACCTCAAGACTTCACACTACAGGGCAAAAGCAGGGAGTAAACAGACCTCAGTAAAATAATCCAGACAGTCACTAAGTAAAAGAAGGAAATAACAATAGAGTGTGAGGTGGGGATGCCTGTACCCAGAGTTGCTGCATTTTATTACCTAAAATGTCCCATTTCCAACAAAAATATGAGATATGCAAATAGGGAAGTATGATCTATACACTAGCCAAAAAGCAAGTGACAGAAACTGCTTATGAGAACAACCAGATGTTATGGGCAGATTTAATGGGCAAAGATTTCAAGTTAGCCATGTAAATACATTACAGAACTAAAGAAAACCGCAGTTAAAGAAGCAAAGGAGGCCCTAAGCAAGTAGCTCAGTTGCCTAGAGTGCCATCCCTATATACCAAGGTTGTGGTTTTGACCTCTGGTCAGGGAAAATACAAGAAATCAACCAATGAATGCATAAAAAAGTGAAATAACTAACTGATGTCTCTCTCTCTCTCTCTCTCTCTCTCTCTCTCTCGAAGAAAAAGGAAAGGGAGGTAAGAATATCAATAAAGAGAAATTATTAAAAAGAACCAAATGGTAACACTCTGGCATTGAAAAGTACAATAACTAAAACAAAAACTTTACTAAAGGGGTTCAACAGTAGATTTGAACTGGCAGAAGAAAGAATTAATGAACTTGAAATAGATCAATATAAATTTTGGAAGCAAAAAAACAGAGAGAAAAAGATGAAGAAAGATAAACAAAGCTTCACAGAAATATGGGACACCATTAAGTGCTCCCATATATGTAATGGGAGCACCAGAAGGAAAGAAAAAAAAGCAGAAAAAATAATGGCTGAAGGATTCCTAAACTCACTGAAAAACATTAATTTGCACATCCTGGAAGGTTGACAAACTTCAAGTAGTTTATAGTACCACCACCACCACCACCACCACCACCACCACCACCACCATTACCTGTGAAGTGATCCACAGATATATTATGGTAAAATTGCTGAAAGCCAGACAAGGAGAAAATCTTGAAAGAAGCAAGGGAAAAATGACTCCTTATTTATAATGGAACCCCAATAAGATTAACAGCTAACTTCTCATTAGAAACAATGGAAGTCAGAAGGCAATGCGGTAAGATATTCAAAGTGCTCTGTAGTAACATTTGCACATTACTACAGATACATTAAGAAAATGGATTTGTATGTTTTCAATGGGTAAAATGTATGGTATATATATTATGTCTCAATAAAGCTATTTTAAAAACTCACAGGAGACTTCTGGCCAAGAAGGCAGCATAGGTAGATACACTGTGCCTCATCTCACAACCAAAAGAAGGACGCCAACAAATTTAAAAACAAAAAACAATCAGAACTGCCAGAAAATCAAACTGTATGAAAGTCCAACAACCAAGGAGTTAAAGAGAAAACATTCATCTAGATAGGTAGGAGGGGTAGGGGGCAGAGACCAGCAGCCCTGGTGGAGAGGACTCACAGCAAGGCACCAGCTGGAGGACCAGTGATGGCTAGTGGACCAGGCAACTCCACGTTTGCGTGCAGATAAACCAGGAAGAACGAATGGGGAGTGAGACAGACTGCACAACCCAGGGTTCCTAAGCAGAGAAATAAAGGCTCAAAACCTCAGACTGAAAACACTTTGGGGGGGTTATAGCAGCAGGATAAATTCCCAGCCTCATGGGAAAGTTCATTGGAGAGACCCACAAGGACCTAGTACATACACAAACCTACCCACCTGGGAATCAGCGACAAAAGGGCCCAATTTGCTTGTGCGTGGTGGAGGAAGTGACTGAAAGGTGGCAGACAGCCAAGAAAGTGGCATTATTCCCTCTTGGACCCTTTCCTGATACACAGCACCAAAACACAGCAACTTGGGTTGTTCCTCTCTGGGGAACACCTAAGGTTCCATCCCTTACTGTGTAATAGGCATGCCCAGACCAAAAAAAAAAAAAAAAAGGCTGAAATGAAAGAACAGATCAAAGCTCCAGAAAAAATACAATTAGGCAATGAAGACATATTCGAACTATCAGATGAAGAGTTCAAAACACTGGTAATCAGAATACTCACAGAAATGGTTGAGTATGGCTGCAAGGCAGAGGAAAAAGTGAAGGCTATGCAAAGTGAAATAAAGGAAAATGTACAGGGAACCAAGAGTGAAGGGAAGGAAACTGGGGCTGAAATCAATGGTTTGGACCAGAAGGAAGACACAAACAGTCAACCAGAACAGAATGAAGAAACAGGAATTCAAAAAAATGAGGAGAGACTTAGGAACCTTCAAGAAAACTTTAAATATTCTAACATCTGAATCATAGGGGTGCCAGAAAGAGAAGAGAAAGAGCAAGAAATCGAAAACTTATTTGAAAACATAATGAAGGAGAAATTCCCCAATCTGGCAAAGGAAATAGACTTCCAGGAAGTCCAGGAAGCCCAGAGAGTTCCAAAGAGGTTGGATCCAAGAAAGCACACACCAAGGCACATCATAATTACATTACCCAAAATTAAAGAGGAGAGGATCTTAAAAGTAGTAAGGGAAAAGGAGACAGTTACCTACAAAGGAGTTCCCATCAGACTATCAGCTAATTTCTCAAAAGAAACCCTATAAGCAAGAAGGAGGTGGAAAGTAGTATTCCAATATTACTCTATCCAGCAAAGCTATCATTTAGAATGGAGGGCAGATAAAGTGCTTCCCAGATAAGGTCAAGTTAAAGGAGTTCATCATCACTAAGTCCTTATTATATCAAATGTTAAAGGGACTTATCTAAGAAAAAGATGATGATCAATGGGAGGGGTAGGCTGGGATGGGAGTAAAAAACAGAAAACTACTTGAACAATAATTAAATAAATTAAAAAAATAAAACCTCAAAAAATACAAACAGTAAAATGACAACAAACTCACAACTATCAACAACGGAATCTAAAAACAAAAACTAAAACAAACTAAGCAAACAACTAGAACAGAAACAATCACGAAAATGGAGATCACATGGAGGGTTATCAGTGGGGAGGGGGAGGAGGGAGAATGGGGGAA